AATTTCAATTCCCTCTATAATCTTTTCAACAAGAAAAATATCATCAACAAAAAGCATACACCAAGGTCATCTTCTTGTATATGTCTAGTGAGAGCATCCATGACTAAAGCAAAAAGATATGAGCTTAAGGATGATCCTTGATGTAATCGAACCGAAATAGGAAAATACCTAGTCAAACCACCATGTGTTTGAACACAAGTGATAGCTCTTGCATACATATCTTTAATGATTTGAATATAAGCATTATTAACTCCTTTCTTTTCAAGAACTCTCCAAAGCACTTTTCTCGGAACTTTATCGTATGATTTCTCTAAATCAAATAAATATCATATGTAGATCCTTATTCTCTATATATTTCTCCATCAAACCTCTCAATAAAAGCATATGGCTTCAATAGTAGACCTACCCAGCATGAATCCAAATTGATTTTGAGAAACATTAGTATCACGCCGCAACCTAAGCTCCATAACTCACTCCATAGTTTTAAAGTATGACACATTAATTTAACTCATCTATAGTTCGCATAATCTTGTGCATCACCTTTATTCTTAAAAATAGGAATCAATACACTCATTCTTCACTCATCTGACATCTTTTTAGTTTTCAAAATAGTATAAAAATTCAGTAAGCCAAAAATTTTCTTCATCTCCTAAGCATTTATACACCTCTATTGAAATATCATCACGTCCTACCGCTTTTCCACACTTCATTTCCAAAGAAAACTTCGACAAAATTAGCATGTGACAAGTCAAGTTGGTCAGCTGCTAAGTATTGAATCTAGAAAGGCTGGTAAATGGGCTGCAGGCTTAGTGGATCATTAATCTCTCAAGTAGTTTGAAGGTTACATCATCGTTGAAGTTTTAGGCAAAATATATAATTTATTTTCACCTAAAGCATCAAAATTATTAATTTTTAATTAAAGACAGTCATAATGAAAATAAAAACATATCTTTAATTTCACGTGTTACAGACTATTTCTTAATAAAAATAAATTATTAAATAATTTAAACAAATTTGTAGATATTTGAAAATATAATTGTTGCTGATACGTCGTCAAAAAATTAGCTTGATCGGGCACGAATCTCGAGACAAAAGCTAGTTGGAAATTTAAAAAATTAATTTTGGGAGCACCCGAACTCCAATTTCAGCAAGCTTATAGTCAAACTGAGCGTCT